TTTCTTGTCTACTACTAGAAAAACAAACGTAGCCATGGAATTTGTTCAACGTGCGATGCACAAGAATAAAGACATTGTTGGTGTATTATTCATTATCACAGTCGATCCGATTAAAGTATCCGCTTCAAAAACTCCATTTGCTCTGATCGATAAATATAGCGCTATTAAAAGCGAAAACGAAATTCTTTTTTCAATGAATACTATTTTTCGCGTTGGTGAAATCAAACAAACACCCAACGATAGTCGTCTATGGGAAGTCCAATTGACTTTCACCGATGACAACGATCCACAACTAGCGGCTCTCACGCAACATATGCAAGAGGAGATCAAGGGTACGGGGTGGAATCGGGTGGGTCTACTCATGCTCAGAGTGGGTCACTGCGTTCAAGCTGAAGAGCTCTACAATGAACTGCTTAAGAATGCTTCAAACGACAGTGACAAAGCGTCTATCTATAAACATCTTGGATTAGTGAAATACGACCAAGGACAATACAAAGAAGCAATTACATTTCATGAGAAATCGCTCGGAATATGCAACAACACTGTTCCGAAAAACGACACTTTATTAGCCGAAAACTACAGCTACATCGGTCTATCATATAAAAAGACGGGTGATTACTACAAAGCACTTGAATTCGTCGATAAAGCACTTATAATAAGAAAAACAGCTCTGCCTACGAATCATCCCGATTTTGCTGAGTCCTACAAGGACATCGGTGAGGTTTACAATAAGAGGGGTGACTACTCAAAAGCACTTGAATTCTACGCAAGAGCACATACAATCTATGAAAAAGCTCTGCCTCCGAATCATCCAGATTTGGCCACTTCCTACAACAACATCGGCCTAGTATATAACAGCATGGGTGACTGCTCAAAAGCATTTGAATTTCACAAAAAAGCAAATCAAATCTACGAAAAAGCTCTGCCTCAGAGTCATCCCTCATTGGCTGCTTCGTACAACAACATGGGTTTAGTATGTGGCACGATGGGCGACTATTCAAAAGCACTTGAATTCTATGAAAAAGCAAATGCTATCGCTGAGAAGTCTCTAACGCCGAATCATCCAGATTTGGCTACTTCCTACAACAATATCGGTCAAGTGTATGACAGCATGGGTGACCACTCAAAGGCACTTGAAGTCTACGAAAAAGCACATACAATCGCTGAAAAAACTTTGCCTCCGAATCATCCTTCATTGACTTCTTCCTACAGCAACATCGGTCTGGTATATAACAAGATGGGTGACTACCCAAAAGCACTCGAATTCCATACAAAAGCACATCAAATTTATGAAGAAACTCTGCCTCCAAATCATCTGGAATTGGCCAATTCCTACAACAACTTCGGTCTACTGTTCAACAGCATGGGTGATTATCCAAAAGCACTTGAATTTCACGAAAAAGCATATAAAATCGCTGAAGAAGCTCTGCCTCAGAATCATCCTTCATTGACTACTTTCTATAACAATATCGGTCTAGTGTGTGGCACCATGGGCGACTACCGAAAATCACTTGAATTCTACGAAAAAGCATATACAATCGCAGAAAACGCTTCGCCACCGAATCATCCTTCATTGACTACTTCCTACAGCAGCATCGGTCAAGTGTATAACAAGATGGGTGATTACCCAAAAGCACTTGAATTTCACACAAAAGCGAATAAAATTTACGAAGAAACGCTGCCCTCGAATCATCTTGATTTGGCTACTTCCTACAACAACATTGGTCTACTGTACAACATCATGCATGATTATCCAAAAGCACTTGGATTCCACGAGAAAGCACATCAAATCTATGAAAAAGCTCTTCCCCCGGATCATCCAGATTTGGCTACTTCCTACAATAACATTGGTCTAGTGTATAGCAGCACGGGCAACTACTCAAAAGCACTTGAGGTCTACGAAAAAGCACATACAATTGCCAAAAAAACGCTGCCTTCGAATCATCCTTCATTAGCTACTTTCTACAACAACATCGGTCTGGTATGTGGTACCATGGGAGACTACCCAAAAGCACTTGAATTTTATGAAAAAGCATATACAATCGCCGAAAATGCTCTGCCTTCGAATCATCCTTCATTAATTACTTCCTACAGTAGCATTGCTCAAGTTTATAACAGGATGGGTGACTACTCAAAAGTACTTGAATTTCAAACGAAAGCGCATCAAATTTACGAAGAAACTCTGCCTCCAAATCATCCGGCTTTAGCCAATTCCTTCAAGAACATCGGCCTAGTATATAACAGCATCGGTGACCACTCTAAAGCGCTTGAATTCAGCGAAAAGGCACATCAAATCTGCTCGAAAGCTGTGCCTCCGAATTTTATCTAATTGGGTACTTCCTACAACAGCATAGATGAAGCGTAAAAAAAGGATGAAGGACTGCTCGAAAGCACTTTTACATCTAGAAAATGTTCTTGTTCTCTTAGGAAAATCACTTCCAGCAACACATGCTCATATAATTGAGGTGGTCCAAAAGTTCCCACCATGAAATTTTAAATTTTATGAAATGCTTCGTTTTGAATAGTTTATGGCATAAATAAATAGTAGTGTCTCGTCTGTAATAATGCATATACCAGCTCTATCTTGGATTTAATTCTAACATTCTTTTAGGTAAAGTCTATAAAACTTAGAATTTATTTTATTAAATGTTCAAAATAGTTACCATTATTATTTATAGAAACTTTCATCCTTTCTAGCAATTTGTCGAAAATCTTTGTAAACTCTTCTTCTGCAATATTTTTTACTATCTTGGTAACCGCCTGAGCTAGTGATTCTTCGTCTGCTTGATTCGTCAAATAGTTCTTGATATAGTCATTTAGTCAAAAGTCGCCTGATAAAAGATCTAGTGAATATGGTGAGTATGGCATTATCTCAATACATTCTTCTGCTAATTAATTAACCACATCCCGATGCTTATCCAGGTCAATGATACCCGGTCGTAAACAATCATTCCTGTCGGCGGTCTAGGCTTTTTAAATGCAGCCGTAGAGCCATTATTTCGACTCTAACCGTCCTCGGCTTCCAATCACCGTTTTTCAAATCTGTCAAAAATAGTACGAAGAAAAATGACAAAAACAAGTTATGTCCAGGCGCAGCTTCGATCTGTTACAAAACTTAGCCTAATTTCATAAGTCTTAGAGGCAGCATAGTACCCTGATTACTTTTCACAAGTGTAATTTATGCTTTATCACAGTTCAATTTTTTATGTGTTCTCTCTCAAATATCGAAAACATTTTTTATCTATGCTCTACTAGTTGTATTTAGGGGTGAGAAGTTATTGTTATTCGGTAGTTATTAATAACAATAACAATAACAAAAAAATAACAAATAACTTTTTTTTTTTGAAAAACTTTCAAGTCGAATTGCTGCCTATCTAGATTATACTAATTCTATTGGTCTATGCTTACGGATTGAATTTGCTACAACTATGGCATTAACCGATCTCAAAATTCCAGAATTCGCATAGATCACATACAAATGGGACAAAAGTGACAGGATAAAAGATTTTTCGATTTTTTTTCTTTAAATACCAGCAGTTACATCTCATATTTATACTGCATATAGTAGAGGATGCTAGCTAGAGCAGAGTTGTAACCCTTCCGGTCGGATCGAACAGGTTGAAGCGGTTGGACCGGCCGGTTTTTACCGGTTAAAATATATTTTATGAATATACAGATTTTTCAGATAAAACTTGCTGATAGCAAGTTATTATGGCCTTATCAAAATAACCAACTTATTTTATTTCAAAAACTATACATTTTTTTCTTCTGTTTCTCAATCTATTTTATTTCTTTAATCCAAATATGCTTTATTTTTTAAAAACTGCATTTGAAACCATATTAGTTCAGTTAAACTTATCTCATAGATTTTTTGTGAAGATAAAATTTAGTTTCGAGTCATCTTTGACAGAAAAGCGTTACGTCATTTGTAAAGGTTAAGTGAAGAAAATTCAAAATCTGGAATGTAGCAATCAGTTGATCTGTAAATAACACTTTTTTCGAGCTACATATAAATATCTCAGGTATTTATATTTGAGAAACCAAACAGATATGAAGAACTAGAACATGATATTCGTTCATGATGATCTGTAAAAACCGGAACGAAAAAGGTAAATGACTGTTTTTGAAATCATCCCTCTTAGCGAATTAGTAATGACACAGCAAGCGGACCATATTCTGCTAGTTTCCACCGGCCTAATAGATGTTTTCAACCGACTGGTCACTAGCCGAACCGGATCAGTCTAAAATTTCTCCCGATGAACTGAACCAGATCAACGATCTCGATCGGCCACAAGCCTAGTTTGTCTCCTAGTTTTCTTATTGGAAATCTTAAAAACGAATTGAGAACAACGCTCACTGCAATATATGTGTTACAGAAAAGATAAAACTGATAAATAAAGAACTAGAATCAGATTTGTTTTCCAGTAAATTGGTTAAACTTATTAATCGGATGTTTCCATTAAAAAACTAAGAGCAAATTGTTGTTTTTTATTTTCTATCAATTTTCAAGCAAAAATGGTCAATTTAATCAAAAAATTCAGGGAAATCAATATTACCGGGAAAATCGAAAACATCATCGTTCTGTTGTTATCATGATAAAACTTTATCCTCTAAATGTGTGAAACACGATTTTTTTTTTAATTAACTTCTTCTAATACATTTAAATTATAAGAAAATACTTTTAAAAAAGGCACAAAACGCTCAAGACTAGACCTTTTCGAATGAGTGATATTTTGATTTTTTTATTACATTGATTATTTTCCTTTAAAATTGATAAAATTGTTTTAAACTAGGGTGTAGGTTTCTCCTAGGTATAAATCTATAAGCATTTAGAGTGAAAGTTCGCCCCTAATATCACTTTTATCGTATGAACAAACTTAATAAATTCGCCGGGTTTTACCGGTCTGGAATTATTTTTTAGAGCAGCTGATCACCGGCCGGACTGGATCGGTTTAAAATTTCTAAACCGGTTACAACCTTGGGTCAGAGATGTGTCATATGATCAACCTCTAAGCATAGCAACTGATTCCACATACATACATGTATAAATTGCTCGTATGTGACTACATGAAAAAATTCATGTTTGTTGTGGTATATACGATTTTCATATTCTTGCCTGTTTATCCATTTTGAAATACAAATTCGATTTGATCACATATCGAACTACTTTAGAACAAAAGAATATGAAATTCAATTGGATCGAATTTGTATTTCAGAATGGAATAAACAGGCAAGAATATGAAAATCGTATGTAACAAAACAAACATGAAATTTTTCATGTAATCACATACGAGCAATTTATACATGCATGTGTCTGGAACTAGTTGCTACGCTGAGAGGCTGATCACATGACACATCTCTAACTAGTATTCTGTAGTATATGCAGTATAAATATGAGATGTAACTGTCGATATACACAGAAAAAAAACAAAATAAAAATGTTATCCTGTTATTTTTGACCCACCCTATATATGATCTATGCGAATTCTGAAATTTCGAGACCGGTTATTGTCATAGCCGTAACAAATTCATTCCTTAAACATAGACCAATAGAATTAGTATAGTTGGGATAGGCAGCAATTCGAGTTGAAAGTTTTTCAAAAAAAAAGTTATTTGTTATTTTTTTGTTATTAATAACAAATAACAATAACAATAAATTCACACCCCTAGTTGTATTCATAATTCGATAGATATAGGTGTGTTGATTAGAAATATTCAAGTATTTTTTCAAAATTATTCAGATAATATGAAA